CAGGATCTCTTCTCCACAGTCATACTTCTGCTCAATCTCCTTGCCGAGGTCACCCTCAGGCAGACGAAGGTCCTCCCGAACCTCTCCACTGTCCTGGAGCAGGGATAGGTATCCATCCTGAACGCCAATCAGCTGGAAGTCATTCCTTTTGATGTTGGGAACATCCATATTATGAGTCGAGGGGCAGATATCTTCGTCTTTATTCCCAGTAAAGATGTCAATACCCGCCAGGTGAACCTTGGCGTGGCCATGCTTGCCAGTCTTGAAAGTAGACATTTCGACGATCTTACATGGCCTGCCTTTGAGTACCACAAAGCCATTCTTCCGCAATGCTGAGCACTGCATTGGGAAAGTGGCTGAGGCCCCTGCATCTCCTGTCTCGAAGTCCAAATCATCTGCCATTTTGAAAGGCTTCGCTTCCAACTCGTGCGAACTGCACTGACGCGACCGAGACTGTAAATCTTTATGGGACAGCTAGCCTCATCTTTCTCCTGCATAGTTGCTAGTGGTTTTGAACAGCTGATTTTGTCATTAGCAATCTAATACTTACAGTCATTTTTCTATATTCTTTGATTGCCAATACCATCATGATTTACTCACCAATACATTTAGCATGGATAAAAGTTTAATTGCTGTTTTACTTGAAAAGTCCCAAATTCTCCAAATGCAGTTACTTAATTTAATGAAAATTCATAATACCTTGAATTATGAGTCCATAATTCATAATTGTAGAATGAATATTATATAAATTCAGAGTGTTATAGTATTCACAATATTATTTTAGAAAAATGATAGCACTCAAAGGAATCTAAAGTACATTGACCATAGAAACAACAAAAAGCCCCACTGCTGTCAAATTGATTTCAATGCGCAGCCTGTTTCTCTGCCAGATCATCTGGTGGTTTTGAACTGCTGATCTTGAGATTAACAGCTCATGGCTTAACACACTACACCACCATGGCTTCTCTTGTATATAAAAGGTTCATTTAAAATCGGTCAATAGACATTCTTAGTAAAAAACAAACAAACCATAAATATTGATAGTATTTTGCTTGCTTCTGTAATTCATAATCATATTGTTTTGAAGCAAATTAAGAATACATATTTTATTGGGGGCTCTAACAGCTCTTATAAAAATCCATACATCAATTGTATCAAGCACATTTGTTTCCATCATCTTTTCCAAAACATTGTCTTTCTACTTGAGCCCTTGGTGTCAGCTTCTTATATTTTTCCTCCCTCCCCCACTCTCCCTCCTTCATGAACCCTTGACAAATTATAAATTATTATTTTCATATCTTATACCTACTGCTGTCTCCCTTCATCCACGTGAGTGTTGTGGGACAGTTATACATTGATCATTGTGATTGGTTCTCCCTTTCTCTCCCTGCCTTACCCCCATACCCTCATAATATTGCTACTCCCATTATTGTTCCTGAGGGGTTTATCTGTTCTGGATTCCATGTATGGATAACTCTTATCTATACCAGTGTATATGCTGTGGTCTGGCCAGATTTGTAAGGTAGAACTGGAGTCATGATAGTGGAGGGAGGGGACAGGGAAGGCAGCATTAAGGAATTAGAGGAATGTTGTATGTTTCATCAGTGCTATACTGTACCCTGGCTGGCTTGTCCCTTCCTTGTGACCCTTCTGTGAGGAGATGTCCAATTGTCTACAGATGGACTTTGGGTCTCCATTCTGCCCCTGCTTCCCCACCCAGCTCTGTCACATCAATATGATTGTTTGTTCTAGGTCTTCTATGATGTCTGATACTTGATCCCATTGACACCTCATGATCACACAGGTTGGTGTGCTTCTTCCATGTAGACTTTGTTGCTTCCCATCTAGATGGCTACTTGTTTCACTTCAAACCTTCAAGACCCCAGATGTTATATCTTTTGAAAACCAGGCACCATCAGCTTTCTTCGCCACATTTGCTTATACACCCATTTTGTCTTCAGTAATCATGTTGGGAAAGTGAGCATCACTTTCCAGGTGTGTTAATCCAGGTAGACTAGAGAAAGAAATCCAGAGACACTCATATGTGTATAAGAAAGAGTTTTATATAAAAGAGCAGTTGAATATTGGGAAAACATCCCAGCCCAGTCCAGATCAAGTCCATAAGTCCGATATTAGCCCTTATGTCCGATACCAATCTATAAATTCCTCTTCAGATTTACACACCACATATAATGACGCTGAATGCTGGAAGATCACAGGCTAGTGGGTGGAAAGTCTTGTGGATCCAGTGGCAGTGGAAACATCTCAATGCTGGCAGGGGTCCCCATGTGGCTCCTCCAGTTCCAGGACCCTAGTGTACCTCCATGTGTCTTGTCAGCAGGAAAACGAAGTGGAGATTCTGTGTGTCTCTGGTCTTCAATGAGCTATTTATTTTTATGGCATCTCCAAATGAGGTCATCAAGCTGTGACCTAATTGACAGGCTAGACTCCACCCCTTCACAAATTGATACCAGATTATGTAACTACCACACCAGGGTATTAGAACAAAGTGTTCTTGGATTAAGGGAGTATTTGAGTAGAGGCTCAATGTCTGTCTGATACCATAATATTTAATATATAATGTATGTACATGGATCTATGTCCCTATCGTTATATATAAATATATTTGCATATGTATATACCTGTGTTTATACCTCTATAAATGTCCTTTGCCTCCTAGTTCTTTCCTCTGTTTCCCTTTATTTTCCTCTTGTCCCACTATTGTGTTTGACCTTCATTCAGCTTTGAGTAATTCCTCTTGGCTACCTTGAACTTGATCAAGCCCCACCAGTCATTTTATACCCTCCTTGCCATCGATTTTATATCACTTGTTGTTCTCTTGTCCCTGGGTTTGTTGGATTCCCCCTTCCTTTTCCCACCTCCTCTTTCCCCCTGTGCCCCTGGAACAGTCAGCCCATTGTTCTGTCCTTGGGATTATTTATCCTTCCTATCTTATACAGATAGACATGATAACAAGAGTCTATGAATGGTTCCAGGTCTGTCCATTAACCTTTATGAATATTTTCCAATTGAGTCTGGTGAGGTGCCATGCCCTGCCTGCAAAGTCTGTTTTGGGGGTTCCTCGGGGATCTCATTGTTTTGCTCTCCTTGCTGCTCTGTTGTACCCCATTTGTGTTTCCCCCTGGTGTGGTGGGGTCAGACCAGGCACAATTCCCCCACTGTGTCTCCAGTGTTGTCCCCTATAGTGTTATGGGTCAGTGAGGGGATGCCGCCTCTTATTGTGGGGCCAGTCCCACGGTCTTCTCTGTGCATTGGCTGCTCCAAGCAGGAATATTGTCCTTGGGGCTTGGTGGGCCAGGCTGTGGTTCTCTCTCTCTCTCCAGTATGTTCTGAGCAGACCCTCCCCTCTCCCCAAGCTGTATCTTCAGTGCTGTCCTCTGTAGTGCATTCTTCTGGGGAGGGGGTCCATGTAGCTGGCCCCGCAGACCTCTCTGTTGCTTCACTACTTCATAGCTATCACTTAGTACATGCTTTCCTCTGATCTGTTGCTCCAATTTCTTAAGAATTCAGTAAAATCTTGCAAGGTAAGAATAATGATTTTTGCCTTATTAATAAGAAAACAGTCTCAGAGTCCCTAGATAATATTCCCAAAGTTATCAATCTGATGTATCACATTGAAATTTCATGTTCTTTTTACTGGACTGTATTCTAGAGAATAGAGTTCAGCAGATGAAACTCTGGCCAATGATCACAAAGCACCTGTTCTGACAGTTGTCACTAAGTCTTTTGAAACATGGACTG